AGAAGCACTGTGGAGGGAAGGAGAGGAAGGAAGTTTGGTTTCCATTAATAAGTGAACAATGAATCTTCAGGTTGCAAAAGGTTGGATAGAGAGACAATATAAAGAACGCCTGAAAGAGAAAGCTCCCTAGAGAAACAATGCAACAGAACAACTTTGGGATAAAGGAAGGAGTGTGAAGATGGATTTCAGAGCACATGCCAGGCCAGCAATCCTGGCAGCTTTTCTTACATAGGCTATAGATTCCAGATTTCAGCCTAGATAGGGACATCTTGGTTGTAATGTTACCTTTAATATGTAGATTTTTCTTTTTTCCTATCACCTAAAATGGGCTGGGAGAAAGGAGAAAGCAAGGACCCCATGGTTTCTACAATCACATAAAAGCACAGTTGTAATGACTTCTTTGGCCTCCTTTCTTTCCCCTCCCCTGAACCTATCATTAGACATTAAGTGCACTGACTTCTATCACTCTAGCAGGTTTTTAATAGAGCCTTGGGGTATTGCATGCCTCTCTGTCTTATCTCATTTCATTAATTACATTTCATGATCATCCAGGGTCAGGAGGCAGAGGAGGAACCAACATCCAATTGCAGGGAGCAGCGTCGATCTCAGAGATTGGCAAGCATGATGATGGTTTAAAAAAAATCAATTTGCCAGTCAGCTGTGACGCACAAATGGCTCCCAGTAATGGGGTGAGGATGAGCCACCTACGACAGACAGAAAATGAAACGATCTGATCTCTCTGCATGCCAGCAGTGTGGCACACCTGCAGCAACTGTGGCATAACTCAAAGACACTGAGGATGGGGTCAAGGCTCTGGGGAACAGGGCAGAGATGCTGTACAATTTGGAACTAAAATGTATGGATTTTTGCATTCTCAATGTTGGTTTGTCACGTGTGATAAGGTTTGGGTGAATAGAAATAGAGTCTTGCAAAGAGGAGAATGATCTCATTTATTTGACAACTTCAGTTGCCTAGAGAACCAAGATGAGATGAAGGGCCAAAGGGGCTGTCATAGTTCAGGATCATAAATGTCCCTCAAAGATATGTGGGAAAGGCCCAGGAGAAATATTCAGGAGAAAGGGCATATTGAGGTCATGGGGGATGGGCACTTGGAAGGGGCTTTGGCCCCTCCCTCCCCTTCTTTATCCTTGCTTCCTGGCCACCATGAGGTATGCAACTCTGCTTTACCCCAGGCTTCTTACCATGCCACAGGCCTAAAGTCGCAGATTGGGGTCTGCAGTGCCCACTTGGGGCAGCCTGCAAGCTCCCTGGGAAGGAGATGGAGGAAAGAGGTAAGGTGGGTGAGAAGAATGGCATTTGCAACCTCTGCTCACTATTCCCCTGAGTACACAGACACCACCAGTTCATTCAATTTCCTGCATCTCATTTCCAAAGTGCCAGTAATCACCACATGGAAACACCATAACCCTTCCCGTTCACTGTATGAGTACTGAGTGTCCAGTACTGGAACAAACTCTTGCTAACCCACAAACTTGTAAATTAAGCACAATTACTGCCTCCTCTCCGAAAGAGGGGTAGGCTAAGGTGTCCAGAGATAAAGCAACTCATTTCATTAGCTAGAAAACAGGAATGGCTTCCACAAGGGCTTCCGATTCATCCCCCCAAAGGGCTGTTCTGCACCTTTAGTTTGCAAAGCTCCCTGCTTTCGCTGTGCTGGGGCTGGCTGAACCCTTGAACTCCACCTTACCCTTGACCATAAATATCACAAGTTGCCTCCTTTTACCCAGTTCTCACAGAACTGAAAGGACAACAACAACAACAACAACCCAAACAACATACATGCCCCTCCCCCCCATGGGAACCTTTTCTCAGGGGATGCAGTTCTGGCTAATTACCACTTCTCATCTGAGCCAGCCCAGGGAAACATGATCTGGGATGGGACTCTGTTGGCCCACCTGAGAGAGCTCAGCTTTCACCTCTGGCCAGCTGCCAGCGCCCCCTCCCAGGTACTTCCTCTGTGAAGAAGAACCACTGACAAATCAGGCTCTGGGCCTCCTTTATCTCCCACTAACACCTGGCTCCTTTGCCTCCTCCTCCTCCCTATCTTGGAGTTTCCTTGTGGCTCTAATGAAAAGCCCTCTGGCCACATTGAAAAGATGCCAGTTACTGCTGCTGGGGAATAAAATCCAATCTCTGCTGGGGACTGACTCACAGAAACTTCTAGCTTTGAAGCAAGGAGCCTCAGTTGGAAGGATCTCTTAATGTGAGCACTCAGGCATAACAGACAGACCAGGAGAGGCTCCTCTCTGGACTGCAGGTAAACAAACAAACAATAGAATGTGCCAGATCCCCATTCCTGCCCCCACCTGGGCTGCTTAGGTCTCAGCACACCTGTGCAATGCCTGCCCACCTCATGCTGACTGATGCATTTCCTTAGGCGCCCAGAAAAATAAGACAAAACTGAGGTGTCTTGTGAGGGCTCAGCTCCACCGAAGACCTGGGTAGCTGCCAGTGGTTTCACCAATGCTCCAGAGACCAAGTCCACTTAAAGATTACCCAGAATGCAGCTTCCTTGGTGTATACTGGGACCATAAAGCTGAGGCCTGGGAGTTTCTACTGCTTAACACCTTCTCTTGCCTGGACTGTGGGCATCTATCTATCCAGAGGAGGTGATGTTCCTGGTTATATTCTCTGTTATAATTGCATCTCTAAGGAGCCCTTTCAAGGGCTGACATTGACATTGCTCACATACCAATACCACCACAGGACAGGACAGCCATTTCTGTCCTTGCTTCACCTAGCAAGAGGCCTGTGGTTCTTCACAGTCTATGACACCAATGGAGTTGGGGTCACCCCAGCTGTTTTGGCCTTAGCCACTCATTGGGGGAGGGTCAAATGGCAAACCACAGAGCCTGGTGCTCCATCCAGAAGCTGCACAGTTCCACAGGTGGAGATGATAGGTGGTTGTAATGAGGACTCCAGAACAGCTGACACCTAGATGTAAGGGGAGCTCCCTCCATTGGCTCCTTCAGAAGCACCTGCACTTGGGAAGATAGGAAGACTAGTGGTTCTCAGTGGGGGTGACTTTGTTACCTACCTCTGGAACACTTAGTAATCTTTTTGGCTATCAAAACAGTGGAGGGGTGAGGACCACTGGCACCTAGCAGGTAAAGATCAGAATTGCTGCTATCTTTTCACTCTCTGGACATTGTATTATAACACAAAAAAACAATTACCTGGCCCAGACTGTGAATAGTGTTCTATCATGGAACACCTGAGTAGTGGAGTTGAGACTTACTGCATTGGATCCTTTTCATTTCAGGAAAGGTAATAGACGATAGGAATGGGGCCCAAGGAAAGATAAGGCCAAGAACACAGAATGGATTGGAAGCCAAGAAGCTGAGAAAAGAAAGCAAGCTAGGAGAAAACTGTTTTAAGTTCAGTCAGGACATCACAGAAATCTAGATTGAGTAATTAATAGGAGAATGGAAAGAACTATTTAGAAGGACAATCTCCTACCTCTAGTACATGATTAACTGTGAAAGGTCAAAAACACGTACATTTGAAATGGATTAAAGATTTTTTTTATTATTGTTGTTGTGATTGGCTAAAAATAAATTGTTGTGATTGGCTAATAAACATGAAGTGGCTAAAAATATTGTTGTTGGCTAAAAAATAAAAATAAATAAAAAAATAGAAATCTGCCTTGCTCTCATAACCCAATGCTGCCTTCTTGGCCTGCAGACCCGTACCCCTGCTTAGGCTGAGACCTCCTCCCCCAGCCCTTTCTGCACATTGCCCCTGGTGAGACCATCTGTGGTAGCTGCCTGGTTTCACAACAGAACGTCCTCATTTTGTTATACTTAAACTCCAGACCCCCTTCTCTCTGTGCTCCTTGTATCTCAACTCGGCCTGGTGGTACTTGCTGGCCCTCGGCAGTGATGATTCAAGTCTGATCTATCTGATCTGTTGAGGTCTCTGTCTCCTCTGTCCTTTCATCCGCCTTGATATTTTCTAACAGTGTCACTGTCAAGAATACATATGAGATGGAATAGATACAAAGGTATGATCAGTATGAGCCCAAATCCACAAACGTCCTTGGCCCCGTAAAGCAAAGTGCTAATTCAGGTTTGGGATTTGGAGCTGGTGTTTTCTTAGCTTCCATTTGTCATAGTTTATCCAGTAAGAAGATGTGGATCAGCCCCCGGGGCTGGCTGAGAAAGGCTTCCAGGTGAATCACACAGCCAGTGTCATGTAGAGCTGGGCTTCAAGAGCCCAGTTTTTCTGACATTTAGTAAATACTAAGACCTGACTTAAACCTTTGATTTTTTTTTTTCAGAGATTTGCCATTGCTTAAACAGCAGCATATGGATGAACAAATGTTTAGTTCTGGCTGCTTGATTAGATTTATTCCATACAGATTCCCTGGGCAGTCCCTGTCTTTGTGGTAGCGTTAAAAAAATAGACCATTTAGTTGATAAAGTTGAATCTCCCATGAGTTAATGGAATGGAACCAGCTACTGGTGCAGATTGTTACACAAATGCACTAGTGGAGGCAAGGCTGGAGAGGCCAAATATTTTTTTGATCAAATGCAGTTCATCAGTGGATAGTGCTGGACACCTCCCAAGCATTCAGTTCTCTCTGTTTATGTGGCCAGCCCCTCAAGGGGGAACACACAGTTTCTTTTCTCCATAAAGTAAGTCTGGACTGAAAAAGGGTGAGATTCCATTTGAATTAATTAAGGAGCTGGAGGCAAAAGGCTCAGGATGAAGCCTTTAAAGACATTCTTCTCTGATTGACAAGGTTCTGTGGTCACCTGTGAGCAGCTTTAGCAATAGAATTTTTCTTGACATCACTGGAGGGAGGCCTGTGGTCTTCTCTATACTCACATGAAGCCTATGGCTTTTTCACAAATCAGATTAAGGACTGACTGCAGCTTAACTCTTGAAGTTGAACACATACAGTTAACTATCACCCTGTAGCACTTTCCCTTTGTAAAATAAGTTGCAAGCAGTGATATTCTTGAGGGAAAACATACCTTTCAGCCACTTTGGACATTTTCAAACAATGTCTGTCAATCTGTGCATTCAAAAAGGTTATCTGGGGAGAGAGAGAGAATAGGGATGTTGAGACTAAAATAAATTCTTTATTCTCCTTCTCTCCCATGAACCTAAATCTGTATTTCCACCAAGATCCAAACACCTACTCTGGCATGACTTGTGCCCTCCAACTTTGTACCCTAGCAGCCAATTTGCCCTTTTCTGAAATTCCTACCACACTCAAGACTCATACTCTACAGGTTAGACTGTGCCACATATTTTCCTGGACTGTGTTACAATTTAAGTCTTGATTCCTAACAGTGGCTCCCCACACTGAAAAGCAGCATGTAGCTTATGAAGTTTAGCCACACACGGACAGGTAACACATGGATTGTGAGATCTTGTTCTGTCCAGATCCCAAGTGACTGTGTTTCTTCCTGTGCTTGGCCTGTTTGACCAGAATCATCAACTAGCTATCTTGCATAAATTGGTTTCCTAGCTAGTAATAAGCTTGCCCAGAGTGGGCACTGCAAGTTTACTCTTTGCCCAATCCATACTTCTAATATAAATAACGAGTGCTAATCTTCTTATGACTAGTAAATATCAGAAAAGAGTAATGGAAGTAGCTGGTTGCTGTTGATCTGGGGTCATCCTCATAAAAGAAAGTAATATTCAACCAAATAATGCTGAATGGCATTGGGAGGAGAATATCTTTATTCTTTCTAAGTATTTAAAACATTTTTTCCTTGTCTTTTTTATGTTTTTAAAATTGCTATTATAAAGGTTCCATACAGAGGGATTATAGTTATGTAAGTCAGGCAAAGAGCACATTTCTTTTTGGACAATTTTGCCCCTTCCCCTACACTCTCCCTGCTTTTCTTTATTTTTCAGCTTCCCTTTTGAATCACAGAAAGAGTTCATCCAGAGTTGGTGATCCTGAGCTGGTGAAGTCTGGGAGTACATTTCAGTTTTTAGAACTCCAGAACTGCCCAGTACAGCAGCGAGTCTGCCACTAATAATTCATTTATGCCCTCTGTAACAACTGCTGGAGGAACATAGGAGATAATTCTCCCTCTAAAGTTCCATGTGTTCACACAGAGCATGCAAATATTCAAGTTCCACCATGTTCTCCAGGAGCTCAAAGCTCACTCAGCCCTCAGAGATGAACTTGAAAGGGGTTTTCAATGGGTCACACGTCCTACGCTGGAGTACAGCAGTCAATCAGTCACCTGTTTCCGGATGTCTTCTTTTGTAGTTTTCCTGATTGGTTGGCTAGGTAGGTGCACAGGGCTCTGTGCCTGGGATTCCTCAGTCACGCCATACACTGACTAGAAGAAGTAAGAAGATGAATCATTATCCCTTCAGACTGGAGAGGCAGTTCAGAGATCTGCTATTTCAATCCTCCATCCCCCATCTGATTCCTGAAGTCCCCTCTGTGACATCTGGACAAAGGTGACCAGCCTCTGCTTGAATTTCACCAACGGCAGGAGCTCTGCTTTGTGAGGCATCTCTGGGTTACAACTGCTAGGAAATCCTATTACTGAGCCGAAATGGTACTATTTATTAGTGTTTTTCTCAAGACCATCTGCAAGGAATCATTGAGGGGTACTTATTCAAGATAATCATTGCTTATAACCAAGCTTACTGAGTCAGAATATTTGTAGGTTGGCTTTGGGCAAATACTCCAGGAAATTCTGAGCCAAAAAGGAAGTTTGAAAATAACTGCTGAAGGTGCTATGGAAAAAGTTTCCTCTAGTATGAGATTGGAATTCCAGGATTCAGGCTTTCCCTTTTAAAGCCCAACCATCTTTTATCCTCAGTTTCTCTACAGGTCCACAGTTATGGCTTCTTTTTAAGCCGTTGCTATTGTTATAAACAGGTGAGAATTAAGAGCCCCTGAAGCACATGCAGTGAGTGTGGCTGCAATCTATGCAGTCGTGAAGGGCTCAGGTGACTTTACTTGTGACTCTACATAGTTCTGGAATATTAGCATTAGGGGCCATTAAAGGATTAATGAGGACATTTAAGACATAATTTAAAGTATAATGCACTAAACATCGATACCTTAGTGACAAGCAAAATATAGAAGTTGATTCAAGGACAAACACACACACGCACACACACACACACACACACACACACACACACACACACACCAGTGTTCCTTTGCTCACTCTTCTCCTCATGTGTGTAGATGTGTATACAAGTCATCTAAAAACTCTGAAAGACTGACTCTAAAATCCAAGACTTTTTGAACACTGACCTGAGAGCACAAGTAGAAGATTCTACATTTGATCTCATGAGGAGAGGTTTTGGTCAAAACACAGGCTCACTAAAAATATTGCACATAAAATTACCTTCCGACAGTGTGTATTAGGTCTATATGACATATAAATGGATTTTGTTTGTGGATTTGGGTCTGTGATTAAAATGATTTAGAACTCTTTCTCTCTCTGGATATATATTTCAAAATCTAAAACATTTCTGATCTCAAGCACTGTGTAAGAAAGAGAGAGATAATTGGTCATTGTATGTCATAGGGACACTTTGGGGACATACATCTAACCTTTTGAAATTCATATTATGTGGTACAGACATGATTTCTTAAAATGTGGACCTTGATGAGGGTGAGGTACAGATGGGGGCAGTCTGAGCGTGGCACCTGTGGTGTGCCGTGGCCATACGCTCCATCCAGTAAGGTGAAACATAAGTGATCGTGGGGTCATTGGCAGCTGGGCAAGATGGTGATGTGAGTTTGGAATATGTAGCTCTATTAAAAGCCTTTCATTTACTTCTGAGGACCCAGTTTGCTGTTATAGGTTGGACTTTCTTTTCTTTTTTCTGTTTTTAAAAAGTTCTTTGTTCCTTTAGTATTCTTTCCTTACTGCCCTCCCCCTCAGAGCCAACTGCAATTTACACGATCTCATTGACTCCTTCTGAGTTAGCTGTTCTTCCCGACCTATACCTCGTCAGACAGTGAGCTCCTGTGAAGCCCTGCCTCTGAACCCCAGTCACGTGCACCATGTCTAGCACACACCAGCCATTCCATAAACACTTTGAGAACCTGTGAAAAAGATGATTTAGAAAGATCACATATGGCAGGCTTTTGCTGGAGGCATAGCTCAAGTGGTAGAGCACCCCTCTTGCAAGCAGGAGTCTCTGAATTCAAACCCCAATTACTGCCAAATAAATAATAATAATAATAATGATAATAACAAACAACTATGGCATATTTGTAAGCAGTAAACTACTGCTATTTCACCCCAGGAATTTTTAGTGTAGCGAACCTTTTTAACCTTTTGAGGATTCTTCAAACGTCGACATTTTCTGATGTCCATTTCTGTTGTGTTCACACAGCCTGGCTGAGAAAAACAAATCATATAAATTACAAGGCGAAAATTACCCTTCCAATCAGATCTAAGTAACACCATCAGGACTAGCATTTATCTTTCCCATAATAGATACTATATGGTACAATTATTGCCCATAATGTAGGTTCTTCCATGGGATTCTCACAGGCAATGTGGACGTGGATTTTGTGAAAGGAATGTTATGTAGAAGGAGACAGTTTCTAGGAGCAAACTTATTTCAAAGACTGTTTTGGCCACAGACTTTATATTTCACACGGCTAATCATCTGAAAAGACACCAGTATCACTGAGAGAGCCACTTCCTTGTTTTGGCTTTTGATTGGTTTCCTAGGACGGTAAACATCATTTATTCACTTCTCATTCCATTTCGGGAAGAGGTAATGAACAGCTTGGTCTCATAACACAAGATTGGAAATATAGTCAGCCACATTTTCTACAACTTTGTATCTGTATTTGCAGTTTTTCTACTTACTAAAATTTATTTGTGACCTCTAGGTCACTACTCACAGAAACTTAAAGACCATTTGCGGACATTCACAGGCCCAAAACAAGGCCGACTTGTCCTGTGGGCACGTACCATTTGGTTGAACAAGCTGAGACCATGCTTTCCTGTCAATCAGTATACTCAGGGTTTAGTTAATGTTTCTTTCTTTTGAGGGGAGGGGGGCTGGTGCTTTTGCTCTCTAAAATAGATCCCCAGAGAGTGCTAAGAAGCTTCCAGTTCTCTCAAGTGCAAAAAGGCAGTGAGATTCTGTAGGAAAGGTGCATGTGTATGTGTGTATGTGTGTGTCTGTGTGTGTGTGTTAGATACACTTCATTCAAGCATGACTTATAGTCATGCTGGATGTATGCCTAATGCCAATGAATCAACATTATGTAGAATTAAGTAGCCTACCCTTGCACAGAAACATATTCAACCAAAGCATATATTGATCGGCTGGTAAAAATGCACTTCACTAGAGGGTCATAAGAACCCAGCATATTTCTTTTAGGGGCAATGCTTCAGTAGTCACCAATTTAGTCTTCACAAAGACATTATATAAGACAACTATCATCGAAGAGAAGAATTAACTGTGTGTGAGGGAGAATATTTTAAGATTCAGTGTTGAACAATGGTGGAAATGGAAACCATTGATTTGGGAAATACAAACTAGGGGGTAGAGCCCCAAATTTCTCCTGCTAGAATCCCTCGTTTCCAATTCCACACTCTCATGGATAGAGGATGTTTGAAAGGTAGATCTGACAATTGTTTCAGAAAATCTTCTGAGATTATATAAATGGATGGCAAAACCAGTGTCACAAAGCCTAGCAATTATCTTAAGAGTGAGATACTTGATCATGTGAGACAATGTTTTGTTTTTTGAAGAAGAAACAAACTGGAAAAGAATATACTCTAGAGAATCAAGCCAAGTTTCCTTACCACTGGTCTATGGACATCCCAAAAGGCCCGTTCTTGACTGTCCAAAATTTTCCTTTCTGTCTTGTCCTTTTTCCGATCAATCCTGAAAGAAGAAAGAAAGAAAAGAAGCTTTTGTTAGTTTCTCCTTTTGACCTTTGCCTCAGTTCTCAGCTCCTGCTTCTGGGAGCTAAGTTGATTCTAAGACTGTTGATACCTATGTGGTTCCTCCTTTTTGAAACTGAAACCAGAAACTCCATGCATGGTGAACAATTGTTTTAGATGACAGATTGCCACATACATGCAATGACATGGTGTGCCTGAGCCACATGACATATTAAGGCCTGAGTTACTAAGAACTAAATTATCCATCAACATGACCCCCATCAAGGTCACTACTACACATACAGAATTACCAGGAGGAATGTAACCACCAGCTTGCCAGGGCTCTATCTCAAATTTGAAAGTTTGTTTTACATTCAGGGCAGTAGAAATGTCTTCAAAAGGCTGCAATTGTGTGTGTGTGTGTGTGTGTGTGTGTGTGTGTGTGTGTGTGTATGTGTATGTGTGCACACATGTGCTGGTTCTGGGGCTAGAACTCAAGGTCTGTTATTCTCACTTGGTTTTTTTTTTTGTTCATGACCCTCACTCCCACTTCTGACATTTTGCTGGTAATTGAAGATAAAGAGTCTCACAGATTTTTCTGCCCTGGGGCTAGCTTCAAACTACAATGTTCAGATCTCAGACTCCTGAGTAGGCTAGGATTACAGGCAGGAGCCACCAGGGCCTGGTTTGCAATTATGCTTTAAAAGTCATTTAAGCTGGGTGCTGCTGGCTCATGCCTGTAATCCTAGCTATTCAGGAGGCCAAGATCTGAGGATAGAGGCTTGAAGCCAGCCTGGGCAGGAAAGTCCATGAGACTCTTCTGATCAATGAACTACCCAAAAGCCAGAAGTTGAGCTGTGGATCAAGCGGTAGAGCATCTACCTTGAGACTGAAAGAGCTAAGGGACAGAGCCCAGGACCTGAATTCAAGCTCCAGTACTGGCACATGTATACATGCATGCACATACAGACACACACACACACAGGATCACTTTAGCTCTGGCTTCCTAAAAAGCAGAATAATGTCACTAGCATGGGAGAAGAATCAGAAAACCCACATCACCCACCTCAGTTGGGGGAGACACAAATTGCCACTGGGAAGTAATAGATGGCAAAGACATTTTCTCTATGTTCTGATCAGCAGCTCTGGTAAGAGGTGCTTTTTTTTTTCTCCTCGAAGATATGTATTACTTCATATTATCTAAGTAAAAAGCAACTCAGATTAATTACCATGCAACTTCTCCTTCTTGGCTCTCTTGGGAGCACTTTAGTTTACTGGACGGAAATAAACCCATAATCACTCTGCGGTATTTGTCACAATTACTGTGTACTTAAATGGCCCACAATTAGAACGTAATCACAGTTAATCAAAAGAGTTAGTGGAGAAACACCATATATGTAGAAAGTGATAATTTCCCCTCATTTTGCAACATAGAAAATACTGTTGATTTCTGAAGAACAAATCTGTGCTCTTTTTGGCTTCCCAGTGGCTTCTGAGTCCACGAGAACAATTGTTCCTCAGTCCATCTAAATCGTAGCTTCCTTCCTGCTTACTCTCCCATGTGAACCTTCTCCATCCCCAATTGTGTAGCACAGACCCAAGCACTTGGTACCCCCCTCCCTCAGGGGCATCTGGGCACACCAAAGTGACCAGTGGAAAACACAACCTCATGCCATTTCCAACCATGACTGTAGCTGTGACCTTTTCCCACCTACTAGCCTGAGACACTCCAGGCAATGAACTGTGTCATGCACAGAAGGTGAATCACTCCTCGGAAGCCCCACAGGGGCTGCTCACATATGAGTGGTACCCAGAAAAAAACAAAGGTGCTTGCATTCTGCCAGCTCAACTTCTCTGTCCTACTTTTCCTTTCAGGGCTCAAGCTAAGCCAGACATTATCAGTAGTAAGAATAAGGGATTTCCTGGCCTCAGCAATTTCATGGCTCAGAACTGAATGGATCTAGTTGACAACCATGTTTATGTATTAACAGGACACTTATTCCTTGTGCCACATGTTTCCTTAGAGAGGAATTTCCATTATGCATTTAGGAAGAAAAGAATCTCTTCAAACTTGCGCCCCTTTTCATCTCTGATTCTTTAGGGAAGATGGATGACTTAACTTGTTGGTACATTTGGAAGAAGAAATTAGTAAAGGGTCATAGGGTCCTCCCCACCTGGGTCTGCCTGTCCTTAAGACATTCATTTTGTTTTGTTTTGTTTTTGCATACAGTCATCTGACAGAGGACAGTTCTTTCCTGGTAGAAGAGGTCTACAGATGCCCACCTCTGCCTTGGGAATGTTATTCAGACCTGTGGCCACATATCCAAAGCTGTAATCCAGCTTTAAGTTAATAGACTCCGAATGTATGACTTCTGCGCCTTATTTTTCAGTTGGTTTTAAACTCTTCCTATATTGGGGAGAAGGGGAGAGAGGTCATTTGTCCTCCCTAAAGCTCAGCATGTTTACCCATGAAGACACAATCTCCAGCCTCATGGGAAAACCTGGTGGAGTGTTTTCCAATTTCTTAGCACAGAGGAGTAATTGGAACTCTCTCAGGCAACTGGGTCTACCTTCTAACAAGCAGAGTTCTACATCTGGAAGGAGCCCCCTTGCCTTCTGAAGCAGTGCTTTTGGAATCCTTATAGATTGACATCGGTTCAAATGTAAAAATTTATCCATTCCTTCTTTTAACTCCCATCTCTCAAACATTGTGTTCCTGGACTAGCAGGTACAAAACTCTTCCTGTAATCCCAACCTCACACCATCTCACATTCCAGAGTTGTTTTCATCTGGAGGCATCTACTAAGTTCACTTACTTTACTTGTGCTTCTGCTTGCATAAAGATGAATTCCCACTTCCTTGCAAAGGCCCTCTGGAGTCTTGCTAGGTTTTCCTAGTGAGAAATGGAAACCAATAAGAAGACATTAATCACTGTCAGTTAACACAAACACCTATGCTGATTATAAAGCAGTCATCCCTTCTGGTTATTCCAAACAACTAGCAGGACCCCACATTGGAACTGCTAGACACAAACCCAGAGTTGGACTAGTGATGTTCACTTATGTATCCATTAAGTCTGAAGCCTGTGGTTCACTTGATGCTTCTCTTCTTGTGTGTTTTGTAAGAATACAACCTACACAAGTACATGCCTGTAACTGGGACTCTTTAAGGGAATTGGGGCGGGGGGAGGAAAAGAGAATGTTAGATGGTGAATAATATCTTACACCTGTCAATGAAGATGCCTAAATGAGGAATTCTTGAATAACAGAGGGTGGCGGAGATGGGGGAGACCATATGTGTATGTGTGAAATACCAGGTAAAACCCTTTTGAGCAATAACATACCCTAAAAACAAATGAATGACAGGAATATAACACTGGTCCTATCAGAGTGGGGGTACTAATGGGAAGAGAGGGGGCAAAGGAGGGTGAAAATAATCATAATACCTAAGTATATGTATGTGAAAATAGAACATCAGAAGTGACTTGAGATTTGTTTAGGAAGGGAGTAGGAGAAAGAGTGACAGAGAGTGAGCCCACTCAGGGTCCTTTATATGTGACATGGATATGTCACAATGTAACTCCCTTATAAAACTGATCGATGCAAAAAAAACTGAAAAAAAACCACACACAGAACACAACCCACACTGCCCTTCTTATAAAGGCCACGGAAAGTAACAGCTTGTAGTTATTAGGGCAGGAATGGTAGGGTCTCTGCAACCTTTTGGGCGTCTCCAAGAGCAACGCCAAGGGCAAGTCTCTCAAAAGACATCTTCTAGATAGAGCCAGAAGGTTGTAGAGAAGGAGAACCAGGGGACCTGACAGAGAAAGCGGAAAGTGGGAAGTCAGGACTCAAAGTGGACCAAGAGGAGTGTCTATGTTTGGGACGTTTATGAGAGGAAAACCTGCAAACAGAAAGAAAAGTCATCCAGGATAGCTTTCAGAGGAAAAAAAGAAGTGTTTTCTCTAAGTATACGGACTTACTGGGACACTGAGAAGGGGTGCCTGACAGGTCCCCTAATGATCTTCCTAATCCTGATTAATGCAAGGCTGGGGTCTGCGTTACACTATGTATTTTCATAGAACTCATGTCACCACTAATTGATGACCCTCATTAGGAGATTGTTAATATAAAAGGAGCTTCAGTCGCAGTGCTCTACACCTAGCTCACAGCTATAACCAAGGCTTGGTGTGTAAGTACTTCTAAAACCTGTCCCTTTGACTCTTGCCCTGTTCATGGGAAGCCAGGCTGGTAACTGCTAGATGCCAATCAAAAACGAATGATGACACAGTCATTCCAAAGAATACTTGGCAGCCATTAAAAATGATAAGGCAGACTAGTGCTATAGACTTGGAAAGATCCCCCAAATACATTAGTGTTTGGAAAAAGAAACAACATAATAATATTTATTTGTAAAGAAAAAATATATATGGAGTTAGGGGAGAGAATTGACTTGCTTTTTTCTACTTTGTTGTTTGAATTTTTATTTTCTACCAAGAGAACATGAAATGAGAAAATTTTAATAAAATTTGCACATTTTAAATCACGGAAACAACAAAGTGTTATTGAAATTTCTAACCATTTAACGCAGTATTTTAATGTGAAAATCCCCAAGCTTGCTTGCTTTTCCTTTCCTTTCTTTTTCCCTTTCCCTTTTCCTTTCCTCCCTTACCTCCCTCCATCTCTCTCTCTCCCTTCCTTCCTTCCTTCCTCCCTCCCTCCTTCCTTCCTTCCCTCCCTCCCTCTCTCTCTCTTCCTTTTTGAATATTCTTATTATCTTTAAGTAATTGTACAAAGGAGTTGCCATTCAAAAGTGCTTCTTGGTCAATGTCACCCTTTTCAACGTTCTCACCTGCCCCTCTCAACCTACCCCTATCCTCACTTTTCTTAATTTTTAGGATATTTACAATTTTTTTCCATTTTACAGTTTATGTATACAACACATCTTGATCCGTGCCATCCCTTCAACATCTTTGACCAACCCATTCTTTATTGTTCTCAATTCTGTAGTATATACAGTGAATTCTCTCTGCTCTTCTCTCTCCCTGCTTGCTTGCTTCCTTCCTTCCTCCCTCCCTTCCTTGCTCTTTTATTTTTTTCCCTCTCTCTCTTGCTCCCTTTCTTTATCTCTTCTCTCACTTTCTGGCACTTCTTCCCATAGCTGCTGACCTTCAGCAACTCCTGCACTGGAGGGGTAAGGGAGATGGAAGTGGACAGTACAAAAATTTTAACCAATTTCCCTTATTCTTTGTGACCCATTTAAGGTTCAGTTTGGGAGAAAGATATTTTAAATGATCTGTGAATCTTCACAAATATGTTCTTTGGTTCTGGGCTCTGCCCAATCAGAACAGACATACCGAGGGAGACTTCTAATTTTTTTTTTTTGTGAGTCGTGGGGTATGAACTCTGGGCTTGGGCTCTGTCCTTGCGCTCTTCAGCTCAAGGCAAGCACTCTACCACTTGAGCCACCACTTCCAGTTTTCTAGTGGCTTATTGGAGATAAGAGTCTCATAGACTTTCCTGCCCAGGTGGCTTTGAACCATGATTCTCAGATCTCAGCCTCCTGAGTAGCTTGGGTTACAGGCGTGAGCCACCAGCATCTGGCTGACTTTTTGTAAGGAGTTATAGCTTATGAAGGAAGATGGAAGAAGGAGGTAAGAAATTCGGGACAAGAGACTCCACCTGGGACATACATCCTGTCTTATTTTCTGGACTGAATTTTGTCTTCCTCATATTCTGCTTCTACTATCAAGCCCAGAGCAGGCACAAAGATACAATTAAAAACAGGAAATTAGAGACTTTCCTTTTTAGAATAGTGAGGTGAATTTTTAACGCATGAATAGATTCATCTAACCATGACCACAAGATGAATACAGAATAGCTCTATCACTTGCAATGCTCCTCTGGGCTATCTTTTTATGGTCACATAAACTATATCCATAACCACAGCCATTGATCTGTTATTCCCTCATGATACCTTTGTATTTATGAGAATTTTGTATAACTGGAATGGCTGGCTCAGGACTGGATTCTTGCACTTAACAACATCCAGTGTGTGTGTGTGTGTGTGAGTGTGTGTGTGTGTGTGTGTGTGTGTGTGTGTGTATGTGTGTGTGCATCAACCACTCACTTTTTTACTGCAGAATAGTATTCCACTGCATAGATGAACCATGCCTAGTTTAATCATTCACCTGTCATAATATATTTGGGTTGATTTTAGCTTTTGTTGAACAGATATAAAGCTATCTCATGTAATAAACGTATGTTGAACTTAGAAATTGTCCAACTATTTCTCAAAGTAGCTGGACCACTTTTCCATCTTACCAGTAATACAGGAGAGCTGTAGTTGTTCCATGAACATATGATTAAGTATTACTTTAAAAACATTTTTTAGTTATCCTAGAAGATATGTAGGTATGTCTCACTTCAGATTCTTCTTTCCAAATGACTAATGGTGTTGAACATCTTTCCATATACTTGTTTATCATCTTTTTGTTTTCTTTGGTAAAATATATGGTCAAGTCCTTTGTCTATATTTTTCTTTTGAGACAAGATCCTACTATCCATCCTAGGAGGCCTTAACTCAACAATTCTTTTGCCTTAGCCTCCTAAGGGCTGGCATTTCAGATGTGTGCCCCATGCCTGACTTCCTTTGTGTACTTTTATGTTGAGTTGTTGATTTTTTATTGTTGAGTTTTCAGAGTTATTTATGTAAAGATTCATTTGTATTGTGATGAGAGGAGCTGAAGACAAAGGAGAGGAAACAGAAGAGACTTCCTCTCCTCTGTCTGAAATGGACTGGGGGAGACAAACAGGGGGAAAGCACAACCTTCAATAGCACTGCAGCTATAATTGCTCTTCTCCAAGATCAAGCCTTGGAAATAATTATACTTACAGCTTCATAATCTGCCAGTTCCAGTCTTGCTTTATTCTGCATTGTCCTCTTACAGAGATAGATGGCTGAGAGGAGAAGAGAAATTGCAACTGTATCAAGCCATCAGTGCAGTAGAATCATAAATCCACCATCCATCCATCCATCTATCCATCCATCCATTCATCCATCATTCATCCATCCATCCCTTTTCATTCATCCAGTAGCTCCTCCTGTGTGCTAAGCTCTGTCCTTGGAAGAATACATTTTACAGTAAAAGTCATGACACTTGACCTCCAGGGATTTCTCTGTAGGTCAGGGTCAGATAAGGACTCTGTCTACCAATCTTGGTAACTTCTCATCTCTCTCATCACTCTGCTATACATCAAATACCCTCACTCTGTGTGATTATTCCTGTCTGTGACCATGTAACCCACAGGTCCTAAAGCCCCACACTGAATCCTCAGAGAAGGACTAGGGCCTTTAGGATAGACAATGCGGCTCTTTATGATACTTTCTCTGCTTGTCCTGCTACGCTCTTCTCCTCCCTCACATGGGCATTGCAAGGCCACCAAACTTCTGGTACATTCTTTTGATTATGTATCCTTCATATGGAAGGGCACTCTCTTCTTTCTTCTGCTCCTGTGTCTATCTAGTAAGGTGATACTAATCTCTGAAGACCCAGCTCCATGAGTGGGATCGATCACACAGCCTCATTCCCTGCACTAGTGTTCCTGTTCACCGAGGCCTCTGAGTGAGGTTGAAAGCTCTTTAAGGACAGAGGCTATGTCCTCCACTTTACCATGATCCTGCATCTGGGCCTGTCCTGCCAGGTGGTGGAGAACAGCAGTGGAGAGGGAGAATAGTTTAGGGTTGGCTCTCGGCCAGGCCAAAGAAGGGTTCTTAGCCCTTGATCACTGGAACATTTCTTCCTCAAGCCCAACCTTCATCACCTCTTGCTAAATCTGCTTCTTCAGTGTCTTCCTTCTTGGATATCAAAGAGAATGATCCAAGAAAGAGGAGATGGCTGGCATGAATGATCAACCCAGAGAAGCTGTACCTCAGCTTAAGGATGCTGAGAGATCTCCAGTCAGCTCCTCACTGGATTCACCAGCTGCCTCCCTTTGCTCAGAAGAATTTCCTGCTAATAGTCCACATGTCTTTGGAGACTTCCAGCCTGCCGCCCTCTATCTGGGCTAGCCACACATCCACCCCCAGCCTGGGTACTAAAAACAGTCAACTGTAGTTGTTTCCAAATCTGTTTATGTCAGGCTCACCTGTTATTTTTAATAATGGGAGGTTCACTAACTGTTGGCATATATATATATAACAATACTAGATCTTTGGTTCAACAGAATGGTTTTTCAACTTTGCCATGATGTGAAAACCATATACATCCAGTAGAAATCATCCTTTAAAATTTTAATCTGGATCTTTTCTTGAGCAAGTGATATGTGGCCTGAGTCTTTTGTGGTTTAGGGCAGCTCCCTGTCAGCCTCCTGATTCACGAGGGCAAACATCAGACTCTACAGGATGCTGAGCTTCTAGGTTTGGTAGGTTTGATATAGCTAATGCATATTCCACTTAGGATAGTCTCCATGCACGCTGGCATGGCTAGGATGTGAGTGCACCATAGCTGAGTGGCATCAGTGAGCTGAATGTGAAAAGAGACTTGTTCTTATGAGGGCTGCATTGAACCATTCGTAGTACTAAGGCAGTTGCTGACACTGGGATCAGGGTGGCAGCAGCGACTCCTTATCCCAAGCTCACTGTGGGTCAGTCACAACTTCCAAGATTTGTCAAATATCCCCTTAACTCAGCACTGCATGGTAGATCTATGAGGCAGGTTCAGTTATTCCCCCATTTTACAGATGAGGGGAATTATTTTCAAATCATTCCTTCTTATTGGGGATCCACCATGGCTCCCCCAAACTGAGTCTGTTCTCATTATCTATTGACAATCAGCAACTTCTGAGCACCCATTCTCTTCTTGCCCCATCATGCTACCTCTTGCAGCCTTCCAAGCTTGCTGGCCTGGCAAGATCATGATGTGGCCACATCTGAGACATAGCAATTGACACAGAGTAGGTTAATCGGTAAATATTTGTGAAATGAATGTCAATCCCAATGGCCTCATACTCGTTTGGCTGGCTCATTCATGGCTGGTGTTCTACTACTTAACCCATACCTCCAGTCCACGTTTTTTGCTGATTATTTTTGAGATGGAGTCATGTGGGCTTTTCTGCCCAGGCTTGCTTTGAACCTTGATCCTCCATCTCAGCCTATTAAGTAACCATGATGGTAGGCATGAGCCATTAGTCCCTGACTAGCTATTCTGGTTTCTTAGCTTCATTTTCGTGTTATTTCTGGTGCAAGGATCACCACAGTGATAATCATATTTCACTACTTCAGTAGTAACAATACAAGGCTGATAGCAACCATACCCTAAACAACAGTAATACCAGCCATTACCACGATGCAGGTAAGAACATCCACCTGGTGTAACTGTTGCCACCACAGAGATAAACACGACCCACCATGAGTGTGGACTCCTTACCACCAAACAATCCTAGGAGACAAGTAAACAAACTGCTCCAATTTCAATCTGGTTCTGTGGCACAGTAAGGTTAGGGGAGCTTGCCATGATCACACAGCTTGTGTTGCTGGCAATCCTGGCCCTCTGTGTCTACTTTTCTTTCGGAAAACGCATTTCTTAAATTAAACTGTTTCAGAAATCTGAAGACATGTATATCCTGCATCTTGACTTCTCTACCAGATCTGAAGACAAAAATTCAAGATCACTTGAGAAGCTGTCATTTGTACCCTTGTTTATGCTGCCCACTGAGATTCTGAGCGGAGAAAACCAGTAGAGGAAGGCAAGCAATTGTCTTGTGTGTGTGTGTGTGTGTGTGTGTGTGTGTGTGGTATCGGATGGGATAGAGACATTATTTTAGCTTTACTTGAGCCTAGGCCTCTGGGCCCAGCCTCCTCCCACCTTCTCCACAGCCTGGAACAACACTTGACTTTGCATTCACAAGGGCACATGCTGTCACAAAGAAATGAGCGGTAATGATTCAAACACCAACTTGGGCCCCTTGGGCTGTCTTTCAGTCCTAAAGGTCTTGTTTTATGATTGGTCCGGACACAGCTTGGCTCTCTGCCGAAGGCTCAGAATGGGACCCACTTCATCAGAGGCCCCACACACACACAGCAGAACAGGCAACCTGAGGGCTCTGCCCCTCACACAAGCTCCGTCTCCCAGGCTCAAACACTAACCAGCAAACCTTGCTGGCTTCCCCCTCAAGACTGCATACAGTGGCTTCTTCCCCTAAAATGCATGAGTCAAAGCTGTGTCTTTCAGACAGGCTTCCTGGACCCCACCAGCCATACACCTTCCCATTACTCCATCAAGCAGCTACCAGTTTCTGGTTCCAGTGCCCGGGTGACTTGAGTGCCCCAGTCCACACGAGACTGCCACCTCAGTGGCAGGAACTCATGCAAAGGGTCAGGAACTACTGCTGTGACCTTCAGGCACGTTATACAGGTGATCAGGAAAGAAATGGGCAAGAGAGCTGTGTGGATCTAAGTTCAAATTCTGCTACTTCCAGGGAATGTCTGTTGACCTCTTCTAATAAAGAACCAGGATAATTGGTAAGCATTTATCCAGAAGCAGTTTGTCTCAGGTATGTGCCACGCACCAGAATATATAAGAATGTACAAGGTGACCAACCCTGCCTTCTCTGGGCTTACAGTCAACTGGGAACTTCAGAGAAATGGGACTGAGAGGGGATGTGGTATGTTTGGGCCTTAAGTATAGGACTGATAATATTTCTTCAGACAATTGCCTCATGGACATCTTAACCGCTTTCTATTTCCCTAATGTGAGGAAATATCTGTATACTCATTTTCAGTCTGCTTTTCTCTCTTCATCACTTCCCACCATCAAACATACCAATGAGTTCTTAGTTTTAACAAGTATGGGAGAATAGAAGGAGCCAGGAGAAATGGCAAGTTGATCCAGCCAGCCCTGAAACTCTATCCCTAGGTCACAAGTGTTGGCATGGGATCCCAGGTCTCCAGGCTCCATAGAAAGAATTTTGCTTCCCCTTGCCCTTCTCTCTTTCAAGACCTGCATCTTTCAGTGCACTCCACCTTTCAGTGCTTGGGGCAGGGAGTCTATCCAGAGCACTAAGCAGGGCGAAGGCCCTTCTTTCTGTATGTCACCCAACATCAAACCTCATCTTCTGCACTCCCCAGAGGAACAAGGCGGTGTGGCCAAGGCTCTGATTCTCACCATAGTCAGTGTTTTCAGGTTCCCAGCAGTTTGAAGGCCAGAAATAAGGAGCCTGTGGAAAAGTGACAAAGCACAAGATGTTAGGATCTAGAGGCACCCACCCTCCCCTCCCCTCCTCCCAGCAAGGCCCTGCCCAATGGCAGCCTCTCCCCGCCCCCATCTCTGGTGCTCCACTCTATACCCAGTTCTCTCCTGTTCTTAAATGCAGCTGAGACCAGTCAGCATTTTAATCTAGGTGTTGAGAAATGATATCCAAGGCAAGCAATTTTTTTTAAAAAAGAGTGACATTTAATTTACAGGGCAAACATTTCTTATCCTAAAATAAAGTCTGGCTTGACGTCAGGCTTGGCACAGATTCCTGGGACATCGCTGGGTTCTCTTCCTTGCCCACCTTTTAGCCTATTTGAAGAAACCCATTCTCAACCTTTTTTAGTTTAGACTTTTCTAAGTGCCACATTCATTTTCTGAGCACCTCAGTTTTCTCATCTGTACAATGGGTGTCATGTAACCTTCCAGAAGTTCATTCTTCAAAATAGACGAGGAAATATGTGCAGAACGTCTGCTATGGGCTGAATGTGCTTGCCCTAATTTATATGTTGAAATCTTCACACACACACACACACACACCACACACACACACACACACACACACACACACACACACCTCCCAGGGTGATTGTATTAGGAGATGGGACATGGGAGAGGTGATCAGATGGATGGGATATGAAAGAAGCCTGGAAGATATCCCTTGTTCCTACCATTCTCTGAGGACCTAGCTAGAAGGCACCATATAAGGAAGAGAGAGAGAAAACCCTCACCAGACACTGAATCTTCCAGCCCCTTAATCTTGGCCTTCCCTGCTTCTGGAACTGTGAGAAATGAATTTCCGGTATCTATAAGCACCGTAGTTTATGGTATTCAGTGACAATAGCCCCAAAGGGCCTAGCTAGTGCCCCCTCAAATAGTAGGCCCCCACTAAAGGCACTCTGTGACTAGTTAAGTAGGCCAATCCAACAGGCCAGATCCAAGTGTCTTTGTGTTTCTTGGTGCTGGTGAGGGTAAATCTTGCTCCCTTAGGAACGCTTGGTCATTGTAGGTGCTTCTCATCTGAGATAAAATGATGGAGAATGGAAAAGGATTGCTCATGGAGAAGAGCCAGCAGGCCTACCTGGAAGCGGTAAAAGGTACCATCGTCCTTCATGGTGAGAACATGGTCAGAGATGGGAAAGATGTAGCCCTGGGCAGCTATGAGGCTTCCCAGGTGTATTGCTTCAACTGCAGAGACAGAAGGAAGTGCAGAGCAGATTATTCAGGTGTGACCTACTTAGGAGAGCTGAGGGGGCAACTAGAAGCCAAGGGTCACCATCCCCAAGTGACTCTGTTAATGATAGTACTGAACTTGCCCCTAGTGGAGGATTGGGAGGGGAGAGGAGACGGCCGGGGAGACCATCCTGTATTTGGGCCTCCTCTGAGGATCTGACAGTATTTTGCTTCCCAACTCTTCAAGGCCTTCCAGAAGCAAGCCAGATCTAGTTTCATGGTTAGGAGCACGGGCTTTGGCATAGATGAACTAGTGTATAATGAGGGGAGATATTTCACATAAAGCACTCAGCCCTGTCGGGTACAGGGCAAACACTCAATAAGCACTGGCAGTTCTGATTCATCGATTTCATTTCATCATGTTGGATTGTCCTCAGTCATGATGAGCATGCAGCCTCCTTGTCCAGAGAGACTTTGGACTTGGGTTGTACCCCTGATCTGACAGTGGCCTTAAGCAAGTAGGGCAAAACTTCACTTTCTCAGAAAACTGAAGCAAGGACAATGAGGTGAGTGGTGATATTAGCGGGATCAATCTGACAGAAGTGTGACTATTTTCTCTACAATCAGTTTGTGGCTTTGTTACCAGACAGACGTAAATTCACACTAGTAGCTAAAGATTTATGTTTATCCTGAACAGAGAGAAAAGAGAAAAACCTAAATGCTTCTGCCACACATTGTTTTAGACATGGAACTTGACATAGTCAGGAACTCTCCAACAGTGACTAATTTCACAAGCTTTTACTCTTTAGTGATTTGTTTTGGCTTTCCTTGTAAACTTTGCCACATGGTTGAATCAAATCCTAGGACTCACTATTCTCCTTTGGAAGAAGTGTGTACTCCATGAGTAGGTGATGTCAGAGTGAGTGGAGTTTTGTTTTATCCACTTAATGAGGGCCCTTTTGCTTTTTAAATTCTATGTATGTGTCCCTGAGGCCCCATAGATGTCAAAAGCTATAGATCCTCAAGATCTTATATAAAATGGTGCACTATTTGTATAATAAGCTACGCACCTCTTCTTGTATATGTTAAATCATCTATACATTGCTTGTAATATCTGATACAATGGAGATGCTATATGCAAATAGTTGTTATTCTGTGTTGCTGAGGGAATAATGACAAAAAATCTACAGAGGTTCCTAAAGATCAATATTTTTTTCTTGAATGTTTTCAGTCCAAGGTTGATTGGATCCAAGAATACAGCCCCACAGATATACAAGGCCAACTGTATGCTTCAAGAACCATGGGTCAAAGAGCACCAAGAGTGGTTGTCTATACCTTTAATCTAAACACTTGAGAGGATGAGGCAGTGGGATGGTGAGCTGAAGGTCGGCCTGGGCTGCATAGGGAGAATTTGCCTAAATAAAGTGAAACAACAACAACCCCCATCACTCCCCCCCCCCAAAAAAAACCCCAGTCTAGTCCAGCAAGAAGGGAAGTTTCATTGCTTACAGGTACTCCCAATCTCAGGGATAAAACAGCAAGATGCAATAAGAAGGGGACTTCATTTTACCAACACTGGAGCTAAAACACCTACTCTGTCCTTTGAGAAAAAGATTTTTCTTAAAAATGTGGCAGGTGGAAAAAAAAAGAAACAGAGGGAAGGGAGGGAGGGAAGAAGGGAGGGATAAAGTCAGGAAGGAAGGAAGGAAGAAAAGGAGGGAGGAAGAAAGGAAGGAAAGGAGGAAGGGAGGGAAGGAGGAAGGGAGGGAAGGAGGAAGGGAGGGAGGAAGAAAGGAAGGGAAGGAGGTAGGAAGGGAGGAGGTAGTAAGCCAAAGAAGTGCTTTATACAGTCAAAGTAGCATTCACTAATAGCACATGGATAATTAGCTTTACTTGTCTACAATTTTCATTTTTTTCCTCCTAGTTATACTGTGAGGGAGGCGGGAGGGAGGAGGAAGGAAGGAAGGAAGGGAGGGAGGGAGACTGGATATGCTTGATTTTCCCTGGCTTTCATTTGCCTCATCTCTGCCCTGCATTCTCTGCTGGCGAATTGTGTATGACTTCTCATCAGCTACTTCTCAGAAGCCTAAGTGGTTCCCACACCTTGATATCCTCCCAAGGGCATTAGAGTAGGATAGACCATTTCAGACATGACTGTCTCCATTCTGAAACTTTTACAAAATCTTCTCATGCCAGGACCAGAGGGTTCTCACCTATAACTAGCTAGGTTAGGGGCTTCTTTTCCTCCCTATCCTTCTCTTCCTCCCTCTCCTCTCTTCAGAAATATAATGCCTATTTTAGAGGCGTGAAGAAGAGACACATAGTCTTAGAACCTTACTACCTTCCTTTAGCATCCTAATCAAAGGAACATTGGCTTCATGTAAATGGAACTAAACTGGCCGATGCTCATGTAGACTGAGTGTCACAGTGGATCACGAGTCCAGGATGCATGAGGGAAACATACAGCCAAATGGGTTTAGGTTCTATCCCTTAGATGAATTAGCATTTATAGGTTCTTCTTGGTACTAAGAACTTGACTAGAGTTAAGATTGTGTTGTGTGTGTGTGTGTGTGTGTGTGTGTGTGTGTGTTAGTTGTGCTAGTTATCAATGTGGGCTAGCATTGTTTCTCTGAATGACCTGCTTTTCAGAGTCTCAGAGTTCTGGCAAGTACATTTAATTGAACTATAAATTCCAGTATCCAATAGTCAAGAATAGATTAGCAATGTCATTTAAAACACTAGAAAGTCTGAAGAGACATCCCACTCCCAATAAGGTCCATAACTCAAGGTCAGATGTCTAGGGGAGGCTTTTGGAAAAGAAACCCTCAGAAAACATGGTAGATAGGGACCACTTAATTTGAAGCAAATAGTTCTAATCACTCCCAACAGCCATCAAGAACACCAAAGCAGATTCATACTAGTGGATCTTTATAAATGTGACCTTCAGTGATCAAGAACACCCTAGTAAGCCAAAGAAGTGCTTTATACATTCAAAGTAGCATTCACTAATAGCACATGGATAATTAGCTTTACTTATCTACAATTTTCATTTTTTCCTCCTAGTTATACTGTGAAAACACATTTTTCTGTTTACTTTCTGGTGGGAGGACAGATTTGCAAAGTGTCTTACTAGTCAGAGTTTTGTTGTTGTTTTTCTTAGTAGAATTTGTCTAATTGAAATGCAAAATTAGAGCTGGGGAAAAAAAAAGAAAAACCTCCATCATTCCTTCACTTCTTGCAGAAGCAGAAAACAGAAGGAGTCTTTGCAAATAATTAAACATCTTAATTGTGGATCAGGCAATCTAATTTTAAGAGTTGGCTCTAGAAGGCTGCTCAGCGACAGGCTACAACTTATCTTTAATTGCCTGCCGCTAACGAGAATTCATCTCATTTCGCACGCTATTGTATTGAGCTCTTTGGCATTCTAAATAGTTGCTCATTTCCTCAAAGGGTGATTTAAATATGAAGATAGATATTCGGGGAAGAAAATAAATTAATTTTTATTTTGTAAATAGGGTGATGCCACATCTTGGGAGTCCACACTGCAGCACCCAGTTTTCAAGACAGAAGGACAGCTTGATTTAGAAGTTGGCATTAAAACCAGAGGAGGTAAAGGTAGGGTCAAGGGTCAATTACCTGGGTCCTCAATGGAGAGGTTCTTCATGAGCCACTGTACAACATCAGTACCTGCAATGACAAAACAGTGTCTACTGAAGACCTTGTGGGTGCTTAGTCCTGGGGCTTATCTAAGAGAACCCTATTTCCCATCAGCCCACAGCCTGAGAGCTGCGGGATAGTAAGAGCTTTCCATTGTAATCAGTCCTTTCTATCTACTGGTATTTTCTATCATTACTATTATATTCTTTCCCCCCAAAACTCATTTTGATGACTCAGGTTATAGCCACATTTCTAGGGGGCAGCTTAAGGAAACTTCCTGGGAATACAGATTTCAACGAGTTCCCCAAGGCAGGCCAGATGAAGCTCTGCATTATCCTCTTCCTCTTCCTCCTCCTCTTCCTCCTCTTACCTCCTAATCCTCATCATCCTCATCCTCACCATTATTTTATCATTGCTTTCTTCAGCTTCCTGCCTTTACTGACAAGGTTCTTGCAAGGCTGTCTCATTTCTTCTAGCTTGGGTCTACCCTGGATCAATGTACCCCTGAATCTGTGTCAGACACTTCTCTGTATTCCTTTGTCTACTCCTGGGTCTAAGCTTGATCACAGTTCCTGGCTTCTCTGCTGTTGGGTATGGACTGAGTTCTGTCAATGGGGTGTGAGCAGAAATGGCCTAGCCAGTGGCTCTCCACGTTCCACCCACCCTTGCCTTCCCAATATTTGGGTAGAGAGGACTCTGGGAATCTGGGGTATTGAGCAGAGCCACAATAGGGAAGGAGCCATGGCTCCAACTATTTGATGTTCCCACTGAGTTTATCCCACTGAAGGATAAACTTGGTTGTGGTAATCCCCTGAAATTTGAGAGTTATCTGTTGAGGCACATAGTGCTACCTTAACTAATATCTAAAATCATAAGAGTCAATAGAATTTCAAAATTTATTTACTTCAACCCAATTCAATATTCATTCATCTAAACACTTGGACAAGAGGTTCAGAAGAGCCCCAGTATCTTGGAACTCCCAAGACTCTACCCGTAAAGCAACCTGTTCCAGTTTTCTCTTAACAAAAAGTTATACTTCTCATTTGGCCTTAGTTTTGCCTTTTGATAATAGAAAAGCAGACCTAAACACAGACACAACCACTCTGGGAGAGCAGTCCTTCAGTTACGGCCTGGAGTTCTTCACCATTTTCATCATGGTTCACTGCATGAACATGCACCCTTTTGCTTGTTTCCTTTTGAAAACAGGATACTTGGAACCCATGTTTTAACAGTGAAAAGTCCAACTTCCTGGAAGGTTTCTGAACACTGGTCAATTTCACCTTCCAGTAATGCCCAACCTTGAAAGAGGCTGCCCCTCAAGTGGAGTGCTTGATGGAGTACAGCCTCACAGGGGTGGCATTCGCAGACTTCTGCATCCTGCTGTACGTGTGGGGCCTTAGTGGGAGGTAGAGGACGCTCTGCTCCATTCACTCCTGGGCTGGGTTCTCAGATGGATGACTAGAGACCATCAGAGAATTTAAAGCAACAGTGCCCTTTCCCTACAAGTCAAGTTTCTTAGAAATCTAACCAATGGCCAAGGAACTAGTATAGGCTGGAGGGCCTAGACATTTCATTTCTGTCTGTCTGGCTGTATGTGTGTGTGTGTGTGTGTGTGTGTGTGTGTGCGCGCACTGCCCAGTAAGGCTGCCCATACCCCATCTCACTCTTCCTGGGCTCCCACCCCCTCAGTTCAGCCTTCAGCATTTCTTTACATTTCAACCTCAAAAAACAGGACTTCTAAGCTTCTTCCTGCCCTGGCTCCCAGATGGCGTCTATCAGCTAAACTTTGGGTCAAAAAAA